CGTCGAAAATATTTTTCGGTAATTTTTGACTGAAATAACTGAAATTAATTAACTCCAAAAAATAATATCGGAACTAAAATATTATTATACTGATAAAAGTCGGGATATTACAACTAGCATCCGTATGTACTTCAAAATATCACCTCAAAGTTAGGCATGGCTAATATCGGAGTTGTTGACATGCCCCCTTGAGTTTTTCGAATGCCTCCTCACTACTAGCCGACCATTTGAATCCTCCTTTTCTCGTCATCTCCATCAATGTCTTAGCAATCGATCCAAAGTCTTTGACAAATTTTCGATAATATCCAATCAGCCCCAAAAACCCCGTAGTTCCTTCAAATTCTTCGGTTAAGGCCAATCGAGCATCACCTCAATTTTCTTGGAATCTACTCTAACTCCTTCAAAAGATATAATGTGGCCCAAATACTTCACCGATTCTTAGCCAAAAGAACACTTCGAAGGCTTTATCTGAATATAATTCTCCTTCAAAATATTCAAGACCACTTTCAAATGCATCATATCATATCGAGTTCATAGCAAAACTGAAAAGTGGATGGTGTGTTAAATAAACCAAAAGGCATTACCAAATATTTATAGTGCCCTTGATGAGTCCGGAATGCCGTCTTGTGGATGTCCTCTTCTGCCACTCGTATCTGATGGTATCCAGCTCGCAAATCTAACTTGGAAAAACAACAGGATCCTGCCAACTCGTCCAACATGTCATCAATGCTTGGAATTGGAAAACGTCCTTTATGGTAGCCGCATTGAGAGCCCGGTAATCCGTACAAAACCTCCACGTCCCATCCTTTTTCTTGGCAAGGAGTACCGATGAAGAAAAAAGACTCGTACTATGCCTGATTAATCCCGACTCAAGCATTTCACGAACCTGCTTCTCAATCTCGGTTTTCTGAAAATGGGCATACCGATACGGAGGGACATGTACGGATTTGGTTTCATCCAACAAGGTAATGCGATGATCGAACTCTCTCCGTGGTGGTAGATTTTTTGGATCTGCTTTCACTTCCTCGAATTGTTGAAGCAACTCGTCAATCTCCCCTTTATGTATGTGTTCCACATCAACACCTTCCAGTTTATCAACTCTAATGGCAAAGATTTGATTACCTTGCCTCCACAATTTCTCCAAACTTTGAGCACTCACCTCCTTCGTTCTCTCCTTTCCTCCAGTTGATAACTTAACCATTCCATCACCCCAACGAAATTTCATTGTTCTTATTCTATAGTCCGTAGTAACCGGACCCAATTCTTCCAACCATTGAACCCCCAAAACCACGTCCGGACCTACCAAGGGTAGTGCATACAAGTCGGCCTTTAAAGTGACCCCTTACATTTTTATAGGCACACCCCGGTAAAACTCTAGGCATTTCAACCTTTCACCATTAGCAACCCTCACTTCAAACGGCTCCACTTGCGTGACATGCAAGTTTAACTTATCGGACAATGATGAATTAATAAAATTATGAGACGAACCATTTGTCGATTAGCACAATTACACGTCGATCGTGAACCCAAGCTGACATCTTCACAAATGTTACGAATCGTGTATCGAGTGTCAAATTTTTTATCAAAACACGCACTAAAACCTTGATTTTGACACAGATTTATGCTCGTAAACGAGCTTTTTCTGAGTTTTTTGATAAAAGTTAAAAGATAGTTCATACAATGGTTCCAAAAACAGCATAATTGAAAATGAAAAGAAAACTGAAATAATAACTGCTCCAGCTGGGACCTTAGCGACGCTAAGGACGGTTAGCGCCGCTAACCGTGGTGAACGTAAATTCTCTGTCGGCCGCTGGATTTTGATAGCGCCGTTATTTTCCCGGCCTTAGCGCCGCTAAGGCTCCCTAGCGGCATTATCCCCTTGACAGCTGCCATTCTTCTGCAGCTTCATTCTTGCTC